AATAGAGGAAAATCAGTAAAAGCAAGATGGTGAGGGCTATACAGGGTTTCAAATCAAGTTAATAGGAAATCAAAGTGGGTTACTATAATGTATCCTGCTTTTTTATTTTTCCCTTAATTAAAAAGATAAAAATAAAAAAGCAAATAATTTTGTAAAAAAAGGAGACTGAGATAAAAGAGGGCATAACAACAAAACAGCACAGGTCAAAGCATAACCATTTAAGCAAAATAATGTTTCACTACAAGATATCCTGACATAAAAGTAGTTACCATAGTGTCTCTTTCCTTGAAATCTTTGAGTATAACTTCATATACTGTAGCACCAAATATATCAAGACAATGTAAAACCATTCAAGAGAATGACAGTATTACAGGATATTTAGAACCAACTATCAGAAAATGAACAATGGTTTTTGTATAATCTCCTTGTCTATAAAAGCTTTTGCTTATATTATCACATATAAGAAAATCAAATAAGATACAACCTAATAAGACCAATGGAGACAGAAGAATAAAAGCTTGATGGGACTTCAAAGCAAGATGATACTAAATATCAGCACTAGCTATTATGATGTCTTGTTTTCTCCAAAATAGCTGTTCCTACCATCCAATCTTCTCTGCCTCATTTCTGCTGAGCTCTTTTTCTGTCGTTTGTTGTCAGTTTGTCTTCTTCATTTTGCTTTCTGCTCCATTCATTGTGGCCTCTCTGCCACTGTTTCTGAAGTCTTGGTATTTTCCTTTTTTAGAATATCCTGCAGTATTCTCTGTAGAGAATTGGTGGTTGCAAATTCCCCTAGTTCCTCTTTATCCTGGAAGCACCTTGTTTTTCCATCAATTTCTAGGGACAGTTGTGCAGGATATATCAATCTTGGCTGGAGGTTATTGTCTTTCAAAGCTTGAATTATATCATCCCACACTCTTTGTGATTTGATGGTTTGTGCCAAGAAGTCTGCTGTCATTCTGATGGGTGTTCCCTTGTAAATGATCTGCTTCTTGTCTCTGATGGCTTTTAGTATTCTGTTCTTGTATTGGATTTCTGGAATTTTGATTATTATATGCCTGGGTGTAGCTCTATTTGGATTGTAAGTGGCTGGGGTCCTGTATGCTTCATACATCTGAGTATCTTTATCTTTTGCTAAATTAGGGAAATTCTCTTGGATTATTTCTGTGAATAGCTTTTGTAGTCCATTTGTTTGTGTCCCTACTTCTTCTTTTATGTTCTTAATTCTTAAGTTATAGATCCTCTCATCATGTTCTAGACTTTGTATTATTGCTGTTTGTTTTCTTATTATTTTTAAGAGGTTTTTCATTTCATGCTCCCACCTTACAAATCTGCCCTCCAGTTCAGATAATGTATCCTTAGTTTCTTTCAAGTTATTATGCCAGTTTTCGATAGTTTTTAGTTTCCTGGTAATCTCTTTGAACCTGCTTTATGTATTCTATGTTTTCTCTACTTTCTCCATCAAACAATTATCCCCTTTTTTTTCTGTTCTTCCATTCCACCATCTGTTTTTTCTTGGGCGGTGCTTAGCATATCTCTAACTATTCTACTTATATCTTGCTTTATTTCATTAAATACTTCATTTTTAAACTCATCTATGAGGTTCTGGAGATAGTGCTTTATGTCTATTGGTGCCATGTCTGATATTGCATGTTTTCTGTCTTCCTTTGTGTTTCCCTTTCCTGGATCAGTGTTCTCAGGATTGGGGACTGAGGACCCTTTCTTGTTGCTTCCTCTTCCCATACTTTTTATTCCTTCCATACAAGCGAATGTAGGAGGCCCAATTTTTTTCTCTTTTTTGGTTACAGTTTGTTTGAATTGTGCCAGCTGGTTGTTCCCGCCCAATGCAGTGTACTAGGGAGACACAGACCTGGGCAGCCTCTGCTGGGCCCACCCCTCCAGGTCAACCTACTGAAGGCTTCACCACTAGGGTCCAACTCCAGGCGCTGGGACCTGGTTTGGGCTAGCCTACTGGGTCTTATTCAGTGGCGTCATGCAGGCCAGGCCCTCCCTACCAATCCTGCTTAAGAGGGGAATATGCGACTAATGTCACTGCAGCGCCCTGTTCTGGCAAGTCTGCCCGGTCCCAATATGTCCTTTGCTGGAGCCTCCTACTCTGTGAAAGTGTCCCCGTTCTACTCACTCACTGCAAGTCGATGTGGGGCTCCCTGCTAGTCCTGCTCTCAACTCCATTCGCAGATTCCCACTCTCAGAGCTTTCGCACGTCTCTCTCCCTGCCCTGCAGATTTGGACGCAGCAGTGGCAGCAAGAAATTCAAATCACAGCTTCCAGTGGTGCAGGTTCTAGCTTCCTGCGCTGAGATTTTATCTGTTCCTGTTACAGCACCAGGATTGGATTTCCAGTTGTTTTCTCTTAGCTTAGTTCATTCCTGGGTCAGCAGGGTGTATCTCCCCTTGCTTAGGACTCCTTGTACCACACCATTCCTGGATTTTAAGCAGGGTATCTCAGAGAGCCTCTGTAGCTGCTGCTATCTATCCGCCATGTTCTTCCGGAAGTCGAAATTTTGTTTTTTACTCTTTAAAATAAAATTTTTTTTAAAAAAGGTTCTAAAAAATAAAGGTAATAATGACAGAGAAATATCAAATATTTAATCAAATTAAAATCTATGAGTATGCCACCATTAACAGAAAAGAATGCATCAATTATAATGTAGACTATACTAAAAGTCTGAACATTAATGAGAATTAAAAGCAATAATAATAAATTAATAATAAAATAGGGAGATGGGACAAGGGAATGAGAAAGAGGAGGTTTTTGTTTTTTTAAAAAAGGAAGATAAGATGAGAAGGGAGAGAAAAAAATAAGATTAAAAAATCCAATTGAAGTATTTAAAAAGTAAATAAAATTGGGTAAAATAAGAGAAAAAAACAACAAACAGAAGAAAGAAAAAGTAATAATAAAAAAGAAAAAGAACTGACTCCAAGAATTTCTTCACATCAAAGCATTATGGTGATAGTTTCATACCAGGACCTATAGTGTTTGGATGTCCCAGATATGAGAGATTGGACAATGAGCCCATTGTGTTGCTATGTGAATGCTGATGCCTGCCCTACCTTTTCTGCTGGGCAGGGCCATACATACATATATGTGTGTATGTATGTGTGTATATCAAGCACATTTGACATAAAGGGACAAGTCAATCTCAAAATAATAATAGTGTGTAAGTCAAGGTCTACTGTGTTGTCCACCTCAGGGGTGTATTCATTCCAGAGGCTTTTAGTGTTTGTGTTTTCCTACATACCCTGCACCACTGCTGTACCCAGCCAGCTGTGTGGCTTGAGGGCTCATGAGGTGTCCCAATTGCTCCAGGAACCCCTCTCTGCATAACCAGGGATAGGACAAACATTCGATCAGAGGAATAGGCCCAATTACATTCTCAGGAAAGGAAAGCAAACAGACCTATGTGCTTAAAAAAAGAAAAAGGACAGCACAGGAAGCCGAGCAATCCATTGCACTGGATCACAGAAGTTTTAGACTTAACCCCTTCAGAAAACCACAGGTGATAGGCCTGGGTACTCACCATGAGGTGATGCTATATCCTCCCCAGCCTGAGCTCCCAACTCTTTAAACTTTTCAGTAGGTCTGCAACTAGCCCTGCACCTCTTTCCGACTATCTCTATGGCCATCTCTCACTCAGTCACTGTGGAATGTCCCTAGAGAATCTGGTTACTCTCTGACTTCTGATCTCCAGAGTAGCTCAGTCTTAAAAATGAGTCCCCTCCCAAATGGTTTGTTGTTACACCTTTCCTAGATATGACAGCTATCACTGGGGATGTCTTCTTAAGAGCTAGACTGCTGGGTAGGAGGAGCCACTTTCAGAGTACAATCACACTCTGGATTTGAAGCTTAAAAAGAGCATGGATTTTTGTTGAGGTCAGCACTGCAGGTCTGCTTATCACTGGGGCTGCCAGCCCTCTCTCTTACCTTGTGCTTCAGGGAATAGCTTCCCTCCACAAAAGCTGGAGAATCCTTCTAGACTGCTTTTTTCCTTTCTCTGCATCATCTTCTATTTCCGCCACAATTTTTAGCTTTCTCCTTTTGCTGTCTTAATTCTTGGACTTCTTGTTTTTTTCTCACTTCTCAATTTCAGATCCCTGAAAGGTTGTACTCCAGCATCTTGTGTACTTTGAGATCACTTTTATAAAGACACTAATCACAATGATGAGCCTTTGTGATCAAACAACTTCCCAAATATTCCACTTCCTAATGGGATTGCTTTGGGTGTCAGAATTTCAACACAGGAGTTTGGTAGAAAGAAAAACATTCAGACTATGGCACTGAAGATGCATTAGGTCCTTTAAAACAATTAAATGTATTTAACATGTAGACAAAACTCTAGAGGAAAAAAACGTAAACTTTAATATATTTAGCATGTAGACAAAACTCTAGAGGGAAAAAACGTAAACTTTAAAAAGAACATGAAAGGCAAAGTATCAGTTTCAAAAAATTGCAAGTTCGTACACTAAAATAGAGCTATAATTAGCCACTCACTAAAACGACTGGGCAAGTGGAACGTGCTCTAATTGGACTTTTGACATCCTGCCCTCTACACAGGCAGCTCAAAACACATTTCCTACCCAACCTCACGTTGGTGATCATGTATTATAGGCCTGGGATTTTACAAGAATAAACAAAACACTATTTACACTGAAATGCTTGTCTCCCTCAATCCATGATCTAAGATAAACATCACCATTAGCCTTCTGGCCAGGCCTCCCCACCCCTGGGAACCCTTGCATCCATCCTGCTCTTGTCCAATCTGTGCTGCGCACTTCTTTCCGAGCAGCCTTTCTGTAAATACCAACTCAATCATGTCATGCCTGGGAAGAAATCTTCCAGTGGTTTCCCATCACAAACCTTTAATGTCTGGATGCTTAGCACAGAAAGCTCCCATGACGTTGCCCAGTCCTCCCCTCTCCAGGTCCTTTAAATAAGCCCAGCAAGGCCTCAGAAATCCTTGCAACTACGCGGCTGCCTCCTGGACACTCTGCCCATTGGCCACCTTCTCAGCATTGCTCTGTGCCCTGGAGCCTCTTGGATCTGCAGCTGGGGCTAGAAATGGCTCCCCTGGCTTTCACCTTTGGCTGTGGCTCACCCAGCAAATGACTCTCGGCCTCCACCTTCCTGTTTCATACACCAGAACTGTGGGTGAGAAGTACCTCCCAACAGATGAGTTCCCCTCTTTTCCCATCCCGCCTCAGACAGCACTAAGCATAGAAATACTTTGCATTTCTTAAGGACAGATGTTCTTTGACAGCTCCTAATCTCATAATCTTCTTGTCTTAGAATCCCTCTCTCCACTTTCCATCACTATCCTCCTACTCCGCTCCCATCTTGCTGGTGAACAACCCTGCGAACAATCAGCACTCACAGAAAGCCTGCTGCTGTGGGAAGGCCCCTGACCTTCCTTTCCCCATCCACTCTCATCCTCCGCTGCCCAGGAAGAGACTGCCTTTTCTCCCCCGCCCCCATTTACATCTTCAAATATCGCTATTATTCTAATTACACTGTTGGAGATTTTGAGTTTACCTCTGAGTCTCCCCCTGAACAATCTAGGAGCCTGGTAGGGACAGGTTTTTATTTACCTGTTGTACCTCCAGCATTGAGCCTGGTGCCACCTATGGAATAAAGGCAAGAATTCCAGGACAAGCATGTGACCGGGCATGGGTGTACAAAGGATGCACACAATATGCACCGCATTCATATTTATCATCCGGCTTACAAATATTAAAATGTACATTGATACAGTCTTTCAAATTTTTACTATTTTTAAAACATATATAATCACATTGAAAGAAAACTTGTAAAAATCGTCAGGTGGAAGGCTCTATCACTCTCACACCACTGTTCATTTCTCCAGGTTTCCTTTCAACTTTTGCCTATGTATTTTCTTCAACAGATGTAGAATTAAATTTTATAGAATTTTATATTTTCTTCTTTGGCTAAAACTGTTCTTTTAATATTTTATACATTGCTAAATCATTTCAAGAATGAAATTATCACTAAGTGGTCATAATTCACTTATCCCCTTCCCTACAGGTTGTTTCCAGTATTTTGCTCATGTAAATAAGCATAAAATAAACATTTTGCCTTTTAAAAAAATATTTTGTTAGTGAAAATTCTGAGGAGTGGAATATAGCCCCTAAAACATGACCCCTACTATGGTTTTGGTATGCATTGCACAATTTCTGTCTTGGAAGGATTCTAACAATTTCCAATGCAAAGATACATTTTTGTCAGAAGGATTCAGTCAGTGTTTATTAAGACTTATTCCATATTCTCCATCTTATCGCAATACTAAATTTTGAGCTGTTGAAGGTTAAAAACAGTGTCTCATATCTTTTTATTCCTAATATCTAACAAATAATTGATGCTCAATAAATACGGTTGAATATGTAATGAAGACAGGTATTTTCCTTATTATTATATTTGTTCATTATATAAATACATATATATAAACTGCATGTATTAATAAAACTTGGAAGTTATCTACTCTGAGTTCTACATACACTCAGCAAACCTGGCAAAATTCCACTTAATCACCTTCCTTTTGAAAGTAGAATCCTCTATAGTCAAAGACTTCTGAAAGCAATACCACAAGTTTCATTAATAGCTCTTTTATAGTGTTTATAATTGCTGGACTGGAAGGTTGTATGCTTCTTTCTCTCTAATCAGATTTATGCGTGATACAGGTTGTAGAGTTTGACTTTTCTTTTCCCTTTCCTGCTCTCTTCTTCCAGGAAGGTAAACAAACTCACTCAGGCTCTCTCTGAGCCATTCATTCTCACAAGTGCGGTAAGTTTATTTGTTAACATTCATTATAAGATTCTGAGGATACTGTTTGATTTCAAATACATTGTTTTTGTTCTTCCATTTTTAGTGAGTCTGACCCAAAAGCATGTATTTACGTAGAAAGTCAGAATGCTGACTAATATTTGGTATTCTTACCAAAAATTTCTAAGCTTTAAAAATTACCATTACAAAATTCAGTATATGGTTTACAAGCTAGATAAATAAACTTTTTTTAAGTCAGGGCATTGAGCATGATGTATATTCACTGTGGCTCTTGGTAGAAAGTCTGATTAAGTATAGGCTGGAAGATAGCTGGTGGCCAATTATTTAGGCTGCTAAACAATTTCTAACCTTGAAAATTTACCAGGTTGTGACTATATTCTCTGACAATTCAAAAGTTTAATCATTTATGAAGATAAATTAAAGGTTGAAATATAGAAACTAGAATAATGATGCAATCATTTACACTGACAGAGTCATTATCAGTAAGGGAACTTGGTTATTCTGGCCAGCCCATCTTCTGTGCTGTAGAGACACAGAAGTGTGTGGCCGCTTTTTGGCATCAAAGTCAGCCCAAGGACCTATCTGCTGGCCAGCTAAGGAGCCGGAGCAAATTCGTCCCTCTGGGGACAATCTGTTTTTCTGTTTCTAAATTTAGAAACAGAAACTGTCACTCATACATTCCTCTATTTATTGCTATTTATTACATCTCCATTTTGCGCCTGGCCTTACTCTGTGTCCTAGGAGTGCTGCTGTGAATGAAACATACACAGTCCTGCCCCTGAGGGGCTTATGTAAAACATATAAAGTATACAAGCAAACATATAAAGTATACAAGACTTTCTGAAGATGGAACAGGGCTCTGGGGATGGGGGAAAATAAGAGAGAGGAGAGAGAAAGGGAATGTATGGAGGATCAGAATGCGACATGTTCATGTACCAATTCCCCACAATGAGTGTATTTATCACAAACCTATACTAATAAAAAAGGAAGAAAAATAAAGTCCTTTAATTGATTAAAATTTTAATGTATATATATTAATGATGCAATAGTTTGTTTTTCTCACAATTATTTAAGCAACAGTCAATTCAATAACCACAGGAATCTTAGAAGTAAGTAAATGCCAAATTTTTTTTATTAATTCATCACGGTATTTCTGAAAGTGTTTGTAAATTGTGGAAAAAAGCAATTCTGAAATTTTCCATGTATAAGCCAGGCTGAGCACTGGACATCCATTGGCCATTTTAATCCTCTGGCTCCTTCCAATAGAGATTCAATCATCCTTCTTTTTACACAGCAGGAGATGGAAGTTATGGAAGGTCACTAAACAGTTACTGGGTTTTGTTTTTATGTATTCTTCTCTGGAAAGCATTCTCCATTATTGGTGGATTCCATGGAAGATGGAGGCCAGGATGAGGGGCGGTCTTCCTGCTGCTGCTATCTGGACATGAGGACAAGGTCACATGACCCTGGCCCAACCAACAGACTGTCACACCCATGACTTTGGATGCTGATGAAGAGAGTCAAAGAGATGTAGAAACAAGTGCTATGGCACTCTCGCTGTCCAGCGCAACACTGTCCAGAGGTAAGAGGCAAGGCTCCCACCCCCGGCTCACACAGCGACTTTGGTTTCTACTGCCTTGTTACTGCTGGGTCTCTGGGCTTCCTGGAAGTTTTCTGAGCTACCTGATATCCTTCCAAAAAATATAGACTCTCTTCAGTTCACCAAAAATGGTTTCTATAGTTTAAAATTTAAGACAAGTGACTAGTAAAACATCTAGAAAGTGACCAAACTAGTGTTGTATTTTCAGGTTGCCTAAATACCAAACCCATACCCTTTACCTAAGGGAGAACAGGTAGCCAGTAGCTTGTTCAACAATTATTCACCAACCCATCACATGCATAGCAGTCATAATCTCAGAAACCTAAATGCCAACAAGTTACTAAAATGCCAAAGAAATGAATTCAGGTAGGATCAAGCAAGGAGCAGTTCTTTCTAGAAAACTTTTTTTTTTAATTTTATTTAAGGAGAAAAGAAAAAAAAAAGCAGAGAAAGGGTACAAGTTATACAGATTTGCAGAAGAAAAAATAAGGAAATCACTAGTTAATGGATTACATATTGTCATCTTAGAAATAATTGTTCAAGTCACAAAATTAAAGCTTGTAAAGTGGACATTCCATCAATGATACTGCTAACAGTTCTGTTCAATGATCCAATAAAACTCTGTGATATCATTTTCTATCTTATACACTTAAATATACATGCAGTTATATAGTTTAGAGCACTTTCTTTTCCTCTCTTTTGTACAATGACTATTACACATTTTGGGTTTCATTGCTCCCACGGTTCTTATTACTTTTTTGGAAGAGAGTAAAACCAAATGTGACATAACAGAACAGAATCAGTCAAGTCAAATGGGTGGACATAATAGATAATGTGAAAACATAATACAAGGTGATCAACAATGGTTACCATAATGCCTCCCGCTATCTCTAATAGAATTGCCTATATCGGTAGTTATAATACAATTGAACAAAACAGTAAAGAATAAAACCGACAAAACCAAAACATTGGAGACATTGTAGGTCTTCAAAAGTAGATAAAAGTCAACAAGAATGGGCGTTATAATGAATCTCATTATCTTCACAGCTGATGCCTAAATTTTCGAACTTGATACTATCCAGCAAAACAGAATAGGGGAACATCAGTTAAAATCCAGATGGTGAGAGTAATACAGGGCTTTAAATCGAGGTAATGGAAAGTCAAAGTGGGTTACTATAATATATCCTGCTATTTTTTTCCTTTAATTAAAAGGATAAAAATAAAAAAGTAAATAATGGAGTGGAGATTGAGATAAAAGAGGGCATAACAACGAAACAGCACAGATCAAAACATAACCATTTAAGCAGAATAGTGTTTCACCACCAGATAATCCTGACCTAAAAGTAGTTACCATATTGTCTCTTTCCTTGAAATCCTTGAGTACAACTTCGTATACTGTAGCATTAAGTATATCAAAACAATGTAAAACCATTTAAGAGAATGACAGCATTACAGAGTATTTAGAATCAACTAACAGAAAATGAATAATGGTTTCTGTATAATCTCCTTGTCTTTAAAAAGTTTTTGCTTATACTATCGTACATAATAAAATCCAGTAAGATACAATCTATTTAGACCATTGGAGACAGAAGGACAAAAGCTAGATGAGACTTCAAAACAAGATGATACTAAATCAGTATTACCTATTAAGATGTCATTTTCTCCAAAATAGCTGTTCCTATCATCCAGTCTTCTCTGCCTCATTTCTGTTGAGCTCTTATTCTGTCAGTAGCTGTCAGTTTGTCTTCTTCACTTTGTTCTCTGCTCCATTCGTTGTGGCCTCCACTATTTCTGGATTCTTTGTATTTTTCTTTTTTTAGAATATCCTGCAATACTCTCTGTAGAGTTGAATTGGTGGTTGCAAATTCCCCCAGTTCCTCTTTATACTGGAAGCACCTTGTTTTTCCATCAATTTTCAGGGACAGTTGTGCAGGATATCTCAATCTTGGCTGGAGATTATTATCTTTCAAAGCTTGAATTATTTCCCCCCACGCTCTTCGTGATTTGATGGTTTGTGCAGAGAAATCTGCTGTAATTCTGATGGGTGCTCCCTTGTAAGTGGTCTGTTTCTTGTCTCTGACAGCTTTTAATATTCTGTTCTTGTATTGAATTTCTGGAATTTTTATTATTATATGCCTGGGTGTTGCTCTGTTTGGGTTGTAGGTAGCTGGGGTCCTGTATGCCTCATACATCTCAGTATCTTTACCTTTTGCTAAATTAGGAAAATTCTCCTGGATTATTTCTGTGAGTAGCTTTTGTAGTTCATTTGTTTGTGTCCCTACTTCTTCTTTTATGTTCTTAATCCTTAAGTTATGGATCCTCTTATCATCTTCTTGTCTTTGTATTATTGCTGTTTGTTTCTTTGTTATTTTTAAGAAGTTTTTCATTTCATTCTCCCATATTACAATTCTGCCCTCCAGTTCAGATAGTCTGTCCTTAGTTTCTTTCAAGCTGTTATGCCAGTCTTCGATAGACTTCTTAGTTTCTTGGTAGTCCCTTTGAACCTGCTTCACGTATTCTATGCTTTCCCTGTTTTCTCCATCAAACAATTCTCCCCTCTTTTTCTGTTCTTCCATTCCACCATCTGTTTTTTCTTGGGTGCTGCTTAGCATTTCTCTAACTATTTTGCATACTTCTAGCTTCAGGTCGTTGATAACTTCATTCCTGAATTGGTCTATGAGGCTCTCTATATGGCGCTTTATGTTTATTGGTGCAGTGTCCGCTATTGCCTGTTTCTCAGAATTGGGGGCCGAGGAGCCTTCCTTGTTGCTGCCTCTTCCCATATTCTCTGTTCCTTATATATGCAAGCTTATATGAGAGGCCCAGCTTTTCTCCCTGTCAGCCACAGCCTGATCGAATTGCGCCGGTTAGGTGTTCCCACTCACCACTGCGCACCAGGCAGCCTACGCGGGGGCCCGCCTCTCCCGGCCTCCGTCAGGCTCTGGGATCTGGGTTGGGCCAGCCTACGGGCTCCGCCGGCAGCGTCACGCAGGCCAGGCACTTTTCACCAATCCCGCCCGAGAGGGGAATGTGTGGCTGGAGTCACCACCGCGCCCTGCTCCCGCAGGACTGCTCGGGCCCAGAAAGTCCGCTGGAGTCAAACTGTGGTGGAGTGTCAGTTTCTCTCACTCACCTCGCCACAAGTCAGAACATGCCTCCCTGCCCGTCCTGTTTTCGACTCCGTTCACAGACTCCCGTTCTCAGAGTTTCCGCGCGTCTCTCTCCTGGCCGAGCCGCTGTGGAGGCAGCCAGCCACCGCGCGGCGGGAAACCCAAATCGCGGCTTCCAATGGCACGGGGTCCAGCCTCAGCAGCGAGGCTTTTCTGTTCCTGTTTTAGCACTAGGACTGCATTCCAAGTTGGTTTCTCTCAGCTGAGTTCGTTCCTGAGTCAGCAGAGCATAACTCTACCTGCTTATGTCTCTTTAGTCCACACCATACCTGGCTTCTGAGCCTAGTTTTTCAGAGAGCCTCTGGTAGTTGCTGTTATCTGTCTGCCATGTTCTCCCGGAAGTGGTTAAGGATCTAACTGAAGATCTAAACACTGAGGAAGCCCTGAAGGAATTTGATTTTTCAGTGACTGCTGAAGATGGTGAAGGAGCTGGGGAACCTTTCTAGAAAACTTGATTCCATGTCTGAAACCCTTATCTACTTGTATTACTCATAGACACATAGGTTCTACTTGAATTTTTTAAGCAGTTTTCAGGATCTCCAGATATCACCCTTGGTCTAAAAGATTCAAACTCTTGGCTTAATATGTTACTTTTATCAGCCAACTAATCTGTATATACTATGATTTCCACATTTCCCTGATAGTATCTCACATTGTTTTCCTTTTAGTCCTTGACTTGGCTTGATATGATTTTTTTAATTTGAATGACTTGGATTTCATATTTGATAGAAGAATGACAGGAAGCAAACTTTTGTCCCCATATAAAGATGGAAAAATAAAAGAGAAAGTCTAGTGATAAATAACATTTTCTGTTTATAAGGGTCAAAGGTGTTACCTATCACTGACTCTAACATGAACTTCAATTGTAGCAAATATAAATGACCTATAAGAACATAAATTGCTATTCCTCCGCAGAATTTCTGCACTTAAGGATTGAAGTACTGGGCCAGGGATTTAGCTCAGCAGTTCAAGAGCTCGCTTGGTAAGTGCAATGTTGTGAGTGCAATCCCTGGTACCAAAAAAAAAAAAAAAAATTTAAGTCCTGCATTTGGGAGCCCTAGGAATTTCTGTGCACTATACCTTAAGACTATCATGCTAAGACACAGGAAGTTAAATAACTCATGATTTCTCTTATATACTCAAAGTATAAATAATTTAAAGAATACAATAAAAGGTAGATGATAGAAAATAGATAGCCTTTATGGAAAAGGGAAGTGGATCTGAAGACAGAGGAAGACAGGAAGGAGAGAAAGGGACAGGGAAAAAAGGGATTAAATGCACTATGAAGATGTACTAATTCCTGATGATTACAGTATTTATTATGTATTGCAAATATAATTAAAAAGAGGGTGTTCTTTGTGAGAGGAAGAAACATCTTGAGTTTCAAGAGATACAAAACCAACAGAAATAAAAAAAGAATAAAAGTACTTTTTAAAAATTGTTTTTATTTTATTTAAAGGAGAAAAAAACCAAAACAGTGTAAGGGTACAAGTAATACAGAATTTCAAAAAAAAAAAAACAGTAAGAAATCACTAGTTAATAGATTACATATTGTCATCTTAGAAATAGTTGTTCAAGTTACAGGATTAAAGCATACAAAGTGGACATTCAAACAGTGAGACTGCAAACAGTTGTGTTCAAAGATCCACCAAAAACTTAGTAATATGGTCATCTAGCTTAACACACCTAAACACACTTGCAGTTGTATCCTTTAGAGTACTTTTTTTTTCCTGCTTTTTACAACAACATTTACACATTTTGGGTTTTATTACTCCCATAGTTCTTATTACATTTTTTTTGGAAGAGGAAAAA